CCGGGGTCCGGGGTCCGGGGTCCGGGGTCCGGGGTCCGGGGTCCGGGATCCGGGTTCCGGGGTTCCGGGGTCCGGGGTCCGGGGTCCGGGGTCCGGGATCCGGGATCCGGGATCCGGGTTCCGGGTTCCGGGGTTCCGGGGTTCCGGGGTCCGGGGTCCGGGGTACGGGGTCCGGGTTCCGGGTTCCGGGGTCCGGGTTCCGGGTTCCGGGGTCCGGGGTCCGTGGTCCGGGGTCCGGGGTCCGGGGTCCGGGGTCCGGGTTCCGGGGTCCGGGGTCCGGGGTCCGGGGTCCGGGGTCCGGGTTCCGGGTTCCGGGGTCCGGGGTCCGGGGTCCGGGGTTCCGGGGTCCGGGTTCCGGGGTCCGGGGTCCGGGTTCCGGGTTCCGGGTTCCGGGGTCCGGGTTCCGGGTTCCGGGTTTCGGGGTTTCGGGGTTTCGGGGTCCGGGGTCCGGGGTCCGGGGTCCGGGTTCCGGGGTCCGGGGGTCCGGGGTTCCGGGGTCCGGGGTCCGGGGTCCGGGGTCCGGGGTCCGGGATCCGGGATCCGGGATCCAGGTTCCGGGTTCCGGGTTCCGGGGTTCCGGGGTTCCGGGGTCCGGGGTCCGGGGTACGGGGTCCGGGTTCCGGGTTCCGGGGTCCGGGTTCCGGGTTCCGGGTTCCGGGGTCCGGGGTCCGTGGTCCGGGGTCCGGGGTCCGGGGTCCGGGGTCCGGGTTCCGGGGTCCGGGGTCCGGGGTCCGGGGTCCGGGTTCCGGGTTCCGGGGTCCGGGGTCCGGGTTCCGGGGTCCGGGGTCCGGGGTTCCGGGGTCCGGGTTCCGGAGTCCGGGTTCCGGGTTCCGGGTTCCGGGTTCCGGGGTCCGGGGTCCGGGGTCCGGGGTCCGGGGTCCGGGTTCCGGGGTCCGGGTTCCGGGGTCCGGGTTCCGGTTTCCGGGTACCGGGGTCCGGGTTCCGGGGTCCGGGTTCCGGGGTCCGGGTTCCGGGGTCCGGGGTCCGGGTTCCGGGGGTCCGTGGTCCGGGGTCCGGGGTCCGGGGTACGGGGTACGGGGTTCCGGGGTCCAGGGCGGGGTTCCGGGTCCAGGTCCGGGGTCCGGGGTCCGGGGTCCGGGGTCCGGGGTCCGGGGTCCGGGGTCCGGGGTCCGGGTTCCGGGTTCCGGGGTTCCCGGGTCCGGGGTCCGGGGTCCAGGTTCCGGGGTCCGGGTTCCGGGTTCCGGGGTTCCCGGGTCCGGGGTCCGGGGTCCGGGGTCCGGGTTCCGGGGTCCGGGGTCCGGGTTCCCGGGTCCGGGGTCCGGGTTCTGGGTACCGGGGTTCCGGGGTCCGGGTTCCGGGGTCCGGGGTGCGGGTTCCGGGGTTCCGGGGTTCTGGGTACCCGGGTTCCGGGGTCCGGGTTGCGGGTTCCGGGGTCCGGGTTGCGGGTCCGGGGTCCGGGTTCCCGGGTCCGGGGTCCGGGGTCCGGGGTCCGGGGTCCGGGGTCCGGGGTCCGGGGTCCGGGGTCCGGGGTCCGGGGTCCGGGTTCCGGGTTCCGGGGTTCCCGGGTCCGGGGTCGGGGTCCGGGTTCCGCGGGGTTCCCGGGTCCGGGGTCCGGGGTCCGGGTTCCGGGGTCCGGGGTCCGGGTTCCGGGTTCCGCGGGGTTCCCGGGTCCGGGGTCCGGGTTCCGGGGTCCGGGGTCCGGGTTCCGGGTTCCGGGTTCCGGGTTCCGGGTTCCGGGTTCCGGGTTCCGGGGTCCGGGTTCCGGGTTCCGGGTTCCCGGGTCCGGGGTCCGGGGTCCGGGGTCCGGGTTCCGGGTTCCGGGGTCCGGGTTCCGGGTTCCAGGTTCCGGGGTCCGGGGTCCGGGGTCCGGGTCCGGGTCCCGGGTACGGGGTTCCGGGGTCCGGGGTCCGGGATCCGGGTTCCGGGGTACGGGGTTCCGGGTTCCGGGTTCCGGGGTCCAGGGTCCGGGATCCGGGATCAGGGGTCCGGGGTCCAGGATCAGGGGTCCGGGGTCCGGGGTCCGGGGTCCGGGGTCCGGGGTCCGGGGTCCGTGGTCCGGGGTCGGGGTCCGGGTTCCGGGTTCCGGGGTTCCGGGGTCCGGGGTCCGGGTTCCGGGTTCCGGGTTCCGGGTTCCGGGGTTCCGGGGATCCGGGGTCCGGGGTCCGGGTCCCGGGTACCGGGTCCCGGGGTCCGGGGTCCGGGGTCCGGGATCCGGGTCCCGGGTACCGGGTCCCGGGGTCCGGGGTCCGGGGTCCGGGATACGGGTTCCGGGGTACGAGGTTCCGGGTTCCGGGTTCCGGGGTCCAGGGTCCGGGATCCGGGATCAGGGGTCCGGGGTCCGGGGTCCGGGGTCCGGGTCCGGGTTCCGGGTTCCGGGGTCCGGGGTCCGGGTTCCGGGTTCCGGGTTCCGGGTTCCGGGGTCCGGGGTCCGGGTTCCGGGTTCCGGGGTTCCCGGGTCCGGGGTCCGGGGTCCGGGTTCCGGGTTCCGGGGTTCCCGGGTCCGGGGTCCGGGGTCCGGGGTCCGGGATCCGGGTTCCGGGTTCCGGGTTCCGGGGTCCGGGGTCCGGGTTCCGGGTTCCGGGTTCCGGGGTCCGGGGTCCGGGGTCCGGGGTCCGGGGTCCGGGTTCCGGGGTCCGGGGTCCGGGGTCCGGGGTCCGGGGTCCGGGTTCCGGGGTCCGGGGTCCGGGTTCCGGGTTCCGGGTTCTGGGGTCCGGGTTCCGGGTTCCGGGGTCCGGGTTCCGGGTTCTGGGTACCGGGGTTCCGGGGTTCCGGGGTTCTGGGTACCCGGGTTCCGGGGTCCGGGTTGCGGGTTCCGGGGTCCAGGGTCCGGGTTCCGGGGTTCCGGGGTCCGGGGTTCCGGGGTCCGGGTTGCGGGTTCCGGGTTCCGGGGTCCGGGGTCCGGGTTCCGGGGTCCGGGGTCCGGGTTCCGGGTTCCGGGGTCCGGGGTCCGGGTTCCGGGGTCCGGGTTCCGGGTTCCGGGTTCCGGGGTCCGGGGTTCCGAGGTTCCGGGTTCCGGGTTCCGGGGTCCGGGGTCCGGGGTCCGGGGTGCGGGGTCCGGGGTCCGGGGTCCCGGGGTCCCGGGTCCGGGGTCCCGGGGTCCCGGGGTCCCGGGTCCGGGGTCCCGGGGTCCCGGGTCCGGGGTCCGGGGTCCGGGGGTCCGGGGTTCCGGGTCCCAGGGTCCGGGTCCCGGGGTCCCGGTCCGGGGTCCGGTGAGGGATTTTTGTTCAAAAATAGTGATTCATACTCTGTATTTTCTTTTAGAAGCAACACTTAACAGGTAAGCTTATGATTTTGGACTTTGACATCAAGCATTATTGGACCAAATTTTGGGGGTTCTCCGTAGCTTGCTTATATTTACTTGTCAGGGGATATTTTAAAAGTGCAGTGATTACTTAATGGGAGAATTCCCCAAATAGGACTGAATAAAACTTTAATTATCAAAATAGGACCATAACTTAAAACTTTCCAATTCTACCATTGCTTTGTTTTAATACAGTTCACATTTCATTAATAATTAAAATATAAAAGTAATAACATAACTTTTTTATAATAAAAATGTAATAAAAACAAATCATGGAATAAAAATTATTTAAAATTAATTGAAAAAATCTAAAAAATAAAGAAATTATAAACTAAAATACTTAAAAAATATAAATAAAATAACTAAAAAATGTAAAAAAAAATATAAAATAAAATATGCATGTGCTGCCGCTTCAGCAACCTTCCGGCACTACCAGTTCCGTTCATCGGAAAAAATGCCAACATGTGCCAGAAATGCCATCTTGATGGCAGTTTTCGAGAAAAATTTAGGCATTTTCAAGAGTATAAATGCCATCTTCATGGCATTTTCACAGAAAGTTTTAACACAAAATTGCATTTTTTAGCCGATTAGAGATAAAGTTGCTTGGCAGTAGCCGAGGCTATGGGAAAGGCCTCCATATTTTATTTATATTTTTTAAGGTGTTTTATCTTTTTTGTATTTGTTTATAAATTTTTTTATTTTTGTAAAAATTAAATATTTTTAATTTTCATGATTTTTTGTATGTTTTTAAAAATATTTTGGATTTTTCATATTTTATTAAGATTTTTTCATATTTTATTTTTTGTATTTATTAGAATTTATAATAGGATTATCCCCTATTAAGTTAGGAATAGGAAGATAGGGTATTCTTTAGTATTCTTTAGTATTTGGGGAAGATAAAAAACATGGCAGTATTTTTTTCAAACTTTGCAGTAATTAGTCCTATTTTGGGAATAAAAACATGGCCGTCCTATTTTGGAAATTTCAAACTGTTTTAATCCTATTTCGGAAACTTTCCCTTAATTAATTCCTGAGAAATATTAGTCAAAGAAAAAAATGAATATTACCCGAAATAGGATTAAAAGGGTTTGAAAATTTCAAAATAGAACTTAACGTGTTTTTGTTCCCAAAATAGGACTAATTGTTGTCATGTTTTGGCATTACCAGACTTCAAACATGACAGTATTTTCCAAGTTTGGCAGTAATTATTCCAATTTTGGGAATAAAAAACATGACAATCCCATTTTGGAAATTTCAAACTGTTTTCGTCCTATTTCGGGAACTTTCCCAAATAAAATCCCCTATCTGTAGAAGGGAAAGTTCCCGAAATGGGACTAAAAAAGTTTGAAATTTCCAAAATAGGACTGTCATATTTTTATTTCCAAAATAGGACTAATTACTGCCAAATTTGGTAAATACTGCCATGTTTGAAGTCTGGTACTGTCAAAACATGACAGTAATTAGTCCTATTTTGAGAATAAAAACATGGAAGTCCTATTTTGGAATTTCAAAACTTTTTTAGTGTCATTTTGGGTAATATCTAGTATAGGAATCGTAGAACTACTAAGCTATACTCCGATCCGTATTACATACGTAGTAGTATACTGCGTATTTATTACCTATTAAAGAAAGAAATACTTCGTTGTTCGTATACTTGGTATCAGCAAACCCTACACTCCATTATACCCAAGAACCAGAATGATGAATTCCCTCCTTCGGGTAGCAGCAGTGTGTGAGCAAAGAGTGGTATTCGCAACCCCGCATTCTCATCCTCTCGTATATATATAGATACGGCGACTATGGTGATTTGAAAGTGAAGTCCATAAGCCCAGATCTCCGCAGTGAAAGACCAATATTATTCTTACAAGGAAATTGCTAATTATAGTTGGAGGCCGGGTTCTGTGTTCATGCAATGGGTTTGTGCTTCTCTCGTTTGAAGAACACACATACGAGCTGGTCTACGAAAGTTCTTCAGTTTCAAGGCCTTCGATATGATAAATATAAGGTGGTTGGAGGGCTATGTTACGATCCATCCATGTTAGATCACAAAGTTGTGTTGTTGCTGTTTAGTCGTGATCGTCAATTTGTTATTGTTTCAAGCCTCAAAAGCAAAGTGTGGCGAGAAGTGTCTTTCCCGTATAACTATTGTACTTCCCGAGGTGGGGTGGGCTTTAACAACAACCTCCATTGGATAGTGAGTGACATCAAGCATGAATATTTAGATCGTTTATTTCGATGTGGTTGATGACGGATTCAAAATAATGCCCTCTCCTATGCCGATTCATGAGGAAGAAGAAGACTCGATAGTTGGCACGGGAATCATAGATGGATGTTTCTGCATGGCTCGAAAGGATGAAAAGACGCAAGTGATCCAAGTCTTACTTATGAAAGAATATGGAAAACAAGAGTCTTGGGTCACGGCCTTTGTAATCCCCTTATTGCGATTTCAACCATATGCGGATTACAACCTCGAGTTTTTGTCTCAAAATGGAAAGGTATTCATATTGGTGAAGGGTAGTTATTACACGGAAACATATGTGTATGATGTCACAGAAGACAAACTAGAACACACGTTGCTTTTCCGTGGTGAAGTTAATGTTGGATGCGTTCTTGGTATTTGTTTTTACATTGAAAGTTTTTATTTGCCAAATGATGTGAGTTGGAGGGATAATCCATGATGAGCACAACTGCAGTTAGGTTTTGAAATGTTTTAAAATATTTGTACTTTATGACTAAATAAATATTTATTGTGGCTTCAGGAATCAGGATATCAATATTCAATATATCAATTCAAGAGGCCGGCCAAGAGCATAAGACTAATGGATTTTTATGATGCAGATATTTCTAGTGCTTTTGGACTCAAACGCCTATATATTATAAGAAGGTTTGGAGTCTTTAGACTTGAAAAGCGAGTTTTTTCAATTCCTTTTTGTGAAAATACTTGTATTCTATAGAGTTACACTCTTATTCTGTCATGTTAAGCAGGACCCCAAAAATCAGTTACCCAACCCTGTAAATCAACCAATGGTTTTTTTAACCTGTCTTAAGTTTTAACCAATTCCATTAGCTAGCCTTCCACAGTGTCAAAATTATGACCATTTCCATTTGTAGAAATTTCAGCCTTCAAAATGTTGATTATATATTCTCTATGAGGAAACATTTATTCGTCCTGCCTTTCTTATTCTTCTTCTACCAGCACACTTGTAGGTGGGATGCTAGTAATAATATTGGTATCAGAGGCGGACCCACTAAGGGTCCCACGGGGTCCCGGGACCCCGTGGACTTCGAAAAAATTACCTATGTATTATATATATTTTATATAAATTAATTGGGAAATGTATATATACAATAAAAACGACTAAGGAAGCAAAAGACTGCAGCAGTACAATGGAGCAAGCACGGGTTTAAGTCTTTCTATTTCTCTTGAGGTACCATGTTCGAGTCCCAAGGCTACATCTTTTGTTTTGTCAAAATGATTTTAATTAAATAAGCCAAAAATGACGTTATTTTTGGCACTTTTTTTAATCCCTTAATCATGTGAATTTTATACATGAATATTAGTATTGGTGTATCATTTCATATTTGTACAATATATTTATAAGGACTTATTTGACTCCTTTTTTGCAACTTCGAAGACCAAACTGACCCTTATCCCATATTTATATTGTATAGAAAGATTTGCATTTTTAATCTCGTAACTTTCGGCTATGACCGTTGCTATTATATTTTATAGTAAAATTACTATCTTGTAATTTTGGTCTTGTAACTAATACGTAGTATAACTATGCAATATTAGAAGTTGTACACTAGAAAGTACACTTTATGACTGAAAATTCAACACCAACATCATATTTTTGGTAATTTTTGTCCACCCTAAGTTATACATAGTATTTTTCTACATGTGTTATATTGTGGCCCTCCCTTGCACTCAACCCTGGCTCTGCCCTTGTACACAAGGGTAGGGACCCCATGCCTCCGACTTTCTGGGTCCGCCACTGATTGGTATTGGATAATATCGTTACTGATGAGTTTCCTTCACACATCACTATTTCAGTTTATGGGTCTATGATTCTGTTATAATCAATGCTGATTTTAAAACTGCTTCTGAAGCAGAAGTTGAAGTGTTTGAGTGAAAGTGCAGAAGTTATTCTGATGCTCTAATTTACTCCTAGAATCAGTTTTTTTAGAAGCTGGGGGGACCAGCTTCTGAAAACTGATTCTGCTTCTGATTTAAAAAAGAATCAGAAGCAGAATCAGTTCCAAACACCCCCTAAGTTTTTTGGGTCAAACACTCAAACAGATCTATTTTACTCATTTAATTAGGATATCAATTTTTAATTAAATTTTAGTTTGGATTTTACAACTTTATAAAGATTTTAATGCAGTTTTTGAATATGTAAATTTTACGGAGTAATTATTAAAATTGAATTAATTATCAATAGTGAGAATTTAACTTATTTATTATTTATTGACCAAAAATGTTGATTTTGCAAAACAATTTGTGACGAAGGTAGAAACAAAGATGTTTGGAGGAAGTTGCATCAACAGCTTGTAAATGTTGATGTCTACAATTTGAAAGCGCTCCCGCTTGAAGCATATTCTAGTGTTGCAGTTGCAGTTGTGTGGTCTATGAGGCTTGCTCTAACAGTTGCATTTTATATTTGGATTGATAATAAGATGAGACCAATTTATACAAAAATAATACCTTGGGATTTAGGACCTCCTTCCAAGAAGAAAAATATTCCAATAAATAATCCTTCTCTGGGTTCATTAGGAAAGAGCAGGGCAAAATTCATATCAGCAGAAGAAAAGACTGGTGTCACTTTTGATGATTTTGCTGGCCAAGAATATATTAAGAGGGAACTGCAAGAGATTGTTCGGATACTGAAAAGTGAGGAAGAATTTCGAGGCAAGGGCATTTATTGCCCAAAAGGAGTGCTTTTCTATGGTCCTCCTGGAACTGGCAAAACTCTTCTGGCAAAAGCGATAGCTGGTGAAGCAGGACTTCCTTTTTTTGCTGCTAATGGCACTGATTTTGTTGAGATGTTTGTTGGTGTGGCCGCTTCACGAGTAAAAGACCTTTTTTCCAGTGCCAGATCCTATGCACCTTCCATTATTTTCATTGATGAGATAGATGCAATTGGCAGCAAACGTGGTGGACCAGATATTGGCGGAGGTGGTGCTGAAAGGGAGCAAGGCCTCCTTCAAATACTAACAGAAATGGATGGGTTCAAGGTTTCCACATCACAGGTTTTAGTCATTGGCGCAACAAATCGGTTGGATATCCTCGATCCTGCTCTATTGCGGAAGGGCCGTTTTGACAAGATTATAAGGGTTGGTCTGCCATCAAAGGATGGCAGATTGGCCATATTGAAGGTACATGCTCGAAACAAATTTTTCCGCTCTGAAGAAGAGAAGGAGACTTTACTGCAGGAAATTGCTGAACAGACAGAAGATTTTACTGGGGCAGAACTTCAAAATATTTTGAATGAAGCTGGAATATTGACTACCAGGACAGACGCAGACTACATAGGAAGAGAAGAGCTTCTCGAGGCTCTGAAGAGGCAAATGGGCACATTTGAAACTGAGGAACTAAAAGTGAGAGGATCGCCCAGAGGTTCCTGAGGAACTAAAAGTGAGACTTGCATACCGAGAAGCTGCTGTTGCAGTTGTTGCATGTTCCATTCCCGATCCACACTGCCCCTTCACTGAGACTCATGTGAACTCCATTAGTAGTAAACCAAATATGCAGTATACAGCAGTGGCAGGCAGAGTATTTAAAAAGAAATCTGATTATGTGAATGCAGTAGTGCGTTCTTGTGCTCCCAGAGTCATTGAGGTCGAGATGTTTGGAGTTGACAATTTGTGCTGGATCTCTGCAAATGCCACTTTAGAAGCTTCTACGCTTGCAGAGCGTTTGATTCTACAGACAGGAATGACTGCACTCGGGAAAGCTTACTACAGATACCAGAGAGATCTTGTGCCAAATTTAGCTGCTAAAATTGAAGCTCTTCGAAATGAGTATATTCGTTTTGCTATGGAGAAATGTGGATCTATACTGAAAGAGAACCATGTTGCTGTAGAGACCATTACAGATATTTTACTTAAGAAAGGAGAGATCAAAGCTGATGAAATTTGGAGCATATATGAAAGTTGCCCTCGAGTAACTCAGCCGGCTGTTAGGCCAATTGATGAATATGGAGCCCTTGTTTATGCTGGAAGATGGGGAATTCATGGTGCTTCACTTCCAGGGAGGGTGACTTTTGCCCCTGGAAATGTTGGCTTTTCAACCTTTGGTGCTTCACGTCCTATACAGACACAGGTCATTAGTGATGAAACATGGAAGCTAGTAGATGGAGTATGGGATAAAAGGGTTGAGGAAATCAAAGCTGAGGCATCTTTGGAAGTTAAAGAAGGCGAGGAAAAGCCACAAGTTCTTCTAGCCAGTCATTTCCTGTAGCACATCATATTAGTCTCTGAAGGTAGGTATTGGTCATGCTTGTTTTTCTTGAAAGAGCAGATATTTGGGCATATGAGTCATAGATCTGTTTTGAGAAGCTTAGATCAGGTTTACAGCAGAACAGTTGACCCAAAATCGAGAAAGAGAGAGATAGAGAGCATTTGTTGGGGTCGTCATCCGTAAGAACTATAGACTTGAGTTTCCTTCACTGGTTCCCCTTCATTTGGAGAAAACTGTACTCGCCGTCTCTATCGTCCATGTCAAGGTTTACCCGGCTAAAGGTCCAGCTCCACCCTTCTATCTTACTGGAACTGGCCAGTCATGAACCAGAACTACACTGGGCCCGGCTTGGCCAGTCAAGAACCAGAACAGTGAAATGATGTTGGAGAAAACATGCATGAAAATGTAGGAGTAATTTGGAAAGAATGGAAATATTGGGAAAAATAAAAGGCAAAGTCTAATTCATTTAAAAAAAAAAAAAAAAAAAAAAAAAAAAGATTTCTTGTCAATTACACTGTTAAATGTTTGACATCCGTGTACTTTTAAGCAAAGTGTCGACATGATGTAATCTGATTTGATCTATTTAGGATGTTTTTACTTGGACTGTAATTTGCCCCAGACCAGTTCAGACCAGACTTGGATAGTTATAAAAATACAAAGGAACCAGACCTTACCAGACCAGACCAAGTAAAAACATTCTTAAATTTGATCGGATTTGATCTGGTTTGCGAGTGAAAATAGTCCAAACAAAAAACATCCTTAAACAGTGCAAAGAACTCGGGGTTTGAGATTGATGTAATGATGGATTGTTTGGGACATCCATATTACCACCCCCAGCTTTCACCATCATGAAACCTACTAGCATTGTCATCCCCAGCAATAAGGGTGCATCTAGTATTTAGAGAGATGCAGCAGTCTTGCAGAAGACCACCACCACCCTGCATAAGTCTTCAGATGCAGAGTCCCATGAGTTGTCTGTTTCCATAGATGAGTCCATGTCTCCTTGTGACTCAGTGGGAAGTCAGATGTTTAATATATTGACAGGAGTGAAGAAGTAGCATGACTCACTTCCATTGAGAAAAAGACATCAAGTGCACTCTTCATTTCAGAACATGAAGAAGCTGCAGCAGCATCAGGATGTTTATGCATAGTTTAGTTGTTGTTTTAACATTAAATTTGCAATACTGATATAATTTGTTGATCACATTTTCATAGAATCTAACACCCCTACAGATCCCCAAACCCAATTCAACGAGGTTATTAATCTTTTTCACAATTTATTTAATGAATTTCATACACAATATGGTAACATATCCCCTCCCTTGAAACGAACTACTTCTTCATCTAAAGGAAAAAGTCATTTTAAATCAACAATATCTAGTCTTTTGAAAAAAGTAAATCTACTCTTGTTGCACAAACCTAGATTAACGGGATTTCCTTATATATAACATTTCCTATTGAGCATAATGAAGGAGCCGAGATTGACATTCTCCCATGGTGGAAGAGCCACGAAGGGATGTTCCCAACTTTATAAAAAATGGCCAAACAATTGTTGTCAATGCCGGTTTGAAGTTTCAACAGTTTGTTTAACGAAATGTTAGCGAAGCTAACAACATTAATTTTGACTGATTATAAAAAAAATATGGTTGAGCGTTTTATCTCTTGAGAAGCTCATTTCGTTCCATGATTGGTTGAAGGCCTACTATAGAACACAAGAAGTTAACCTAGCGCTAGACCGGTACTTCATGAGGAAACAACAACCGACGCCGGAAGCGGCTCCCACGATTAGTTGATGTATTTAAAGTTAAAATATTCTCAATTGTAATTTATAAATGTATAGTCATTGTAGTGTTTGAAATTAATATACATTTCATTTTTTAATGTGTACAATTTCAACCATCATCATCATCATCATCATTACCCCAGTGCCGCAAAGACTTCCACCTGCGATGGGGTCGGGGGGTGGGGGGGGGGGTGGGGGTCAGATGTACGTAATCTTACCCTTGTACTAAAGTGCCTCAAAGACTCCCACTTCCGGATGATTTAGGTCATTCTTAGGTCATTCTTCATCCTTTCATTATTACTTGTCACATACGTAGTATTTCTTTTTGCAAACTTTTTTATTATTTCTCCATCCTTTCCTCTTAAATGAACTTTGGGAAAGTTCCCGAAATAGGACTAAAAAAGTTTTGAAATTCCAAAATAGGACTGTCATGTTTTTATTCCCAAAATAGGAGTAATTACTGCCAAGTTTGGAAAATACTGCCATGTTTGAAGTCTGGTACTGCCTAAAAAAAGCCATTAGTAGTTAGTCCTATTTTGGGAATAAAAACATGGTAGTCCTATTTTGGAATTTTCTAACTCTTTTAGTCCTATTTCGGGTAATATCTCATGAACTTTTCCTGTACAAACTTTTCCATCAGTTTCTTCCTCCACTTATTTAATTACTTTTATTAATACCCTCTTTTATACTATTTCATTACATTTTTATGGCTTCGTTGACCCTAGGGTAGAAAAAATCAAGGGAAATTTGTGACGTTGAAGCAGGTGAAAGCTCATGAGAGTGTTGTTTTAATTTGGTCTCCGGTTCGTGCGGTAAATTTTAATTATTATTATTATTATTATTATTATTATTATTATTATTATTATTATTATTATTATTATTATTATTATTATTATTATTATTATTATTATTATTACTATTATTACTATTATTACTATTATTATTACTATTATTACTATTATTATTATTATTATTATTATTATTATTATTATTATTATTATTATTATTATTATTATTATTATTATTATTATTATTATTATTATTATTATTATTATTATTATTTTTATTATTATTATTACTCCCCATATTATTATAATTATTATTGTTATAATTGTTATTATTATTATTTATTTTTATTATTATACAGAGTAATTATAATTAGAATTACAATTATAATTATAGTTATAATTATAATCAGTGTAGTAGGTATAATTTTTCATAACTTTGATTATAATTATAATTATGATTATAATTATAATTAAATATTTTTAGAATTATAAATATAATTATAAAATATATTTAAATTATATTTATAATTACAATTATATATATAATAATTATAATTATAATTAAAGAAATATTCAGATCAGATCAGAAGGATTTAGATCAGATTAGAAAGATTCAGATCAGATCAGACCAGATCAGAAAGATTCAGATCAGATCAGAAAGATTCAGATCAGATTAGAAAGATTCAGATCAGAAAGATTCAGATCAGATTAGAAAGATTCAGATCAGATCAGAAAGATTCAGATCAGATCAGAAAAATTCTGATCAGATCAGAACTTAATAAATTCAGATCAGAAACATTCAGATCAGACGAAGAGAACAGCTTCTTACTCTCCTTAGATTGTGTGGGAGACTTCTTTTATCTACAATTTTGTTTATAAACTAATGCAAGTGCATAACAAGGTTTTAATATAAAGGTTTACTTAGCTCTAGAAAAACTTTGGAGGGGGCAGGAGGATTTGTCCCTCACCCCAAGCCGTTTTGTGTGCCAATCTCCCAAAGTTCTCTTAGGATTTATCTCAAATGTTTCCTAGGATGTATTTTCATTCATTATATATGCAGTGATTTATGCTTGTTTTATGCCAATTGTTTTCATATCAGGTCCATTTAAGATTGGGAAGAGGCATCTATTCAAAAGAGGCTCTGATTTTGCTTTTTTATTCGAGTGATTTAATTTCAAAATGTCCTCCTTTCATGAGTATTTATATCCAAATTTGTCTTTTTTTGCTTTGCCTCATTGCAGGTCATGCCTATTAATGTTCTTGTTTCAGAAAATTCTAAAGGCAAAGAATTTCTCTTGATTGCGGATTGTGAGGTAAAATCTGTGAAAGGGCGGGGCCTGTGATCTAAACTCGTGGTGTTTAGTTTGAATCAAATAATCATAGATCACATATTTTAAAAATTATGAAAATATAGAAGTCATTCTAATTTATTTTCTGTTTTGTGTTCTTCTTCCTTTGCTTTTCAGATAAAAGCCGACAACAAAATGGAAGCAAGATGATGGGCACTTTGTCACGGTGCGTCAAATTAAATTCAATACTAACACTTATACGTAGTATAACGTAGTAGGGTTCGTATCCACAGGGAAAGAAATAATTCTCTTTTTAGTAAAACTAGTAAATAAATGGGGGTTTTGGGATTGAGTGGTTTAATTTAATCAAACACGAAGATGAACGACTTATATGAGATGTAATTCAAGAATAAAAAGGACTTGGCATTGCTACTTTCCACTTGTTGATATATTTTAGTCGATCATTGTTATATCTATAACTTATCCCCTCTCGAATACTCAATCGAGGAGTATATCCAATTCATCGAGGGTAGTTATTAACAACGACCGTTCATTAATAACCCTTACTATTAGTCAAGTATAGAACACCGCCATATACCGACTTGATAGTAGCATTTAATCTCTTAACTCCTTGATGAAATCAATTGAGATTGATAACCTCAACACAACGGTTTCGGTTTAACCAACAAAATTAATCTCTCTTAAGTTTATTAACCACGACCGTGCATTAATAAACCGAAGTTACTTATTTGTGAAACCATCAACGATTAACCATCGGTTCGTTGATCGTCTCTAGTAATAATTAATATATGAAACAAAACTAGTTGATCCTTTAAGTAATGTTCAAAATATTAATATGAAATATGAATAGAAATTAATTAATACTCAAGGAAGAATATTAAAGAAGATGAATCCTACTATAATTAATATCAAGATGTTAACTAATTGTCATCTTAGTAACACTCCCCAATATTAACATAGAGGAAGAAATAACTATTACTATAACTAATCTCAAGATGTTAACTAATTGTCATCTTAGTAACACTCCCCAACATTGATATAGAAATAGTATTTAAAGAAGGAATTAATATTCAAGGAAAGAAGTTAAGAAAATAACTCACAACTTTAATAATCAACAAGCTTCAAGAGCAACAACAAGTAATGGAAGTTTAGCTCCTCATTTGGAGACTAAACATGCTAGAAAATATAAAGAAATGCTATTCTAAACTGAGCTTAAGAGAGTATGTGAATTGGTGAATAAATGGGAAGGAAATGAGGTGTATTTATAGGTGTTTGGAGATGCCCGGGCCATTTACCCGACCGGGTTTTTGAGAAACCCGACCGGGTAAAAGGCATATCCCGATCGGGTTAACTGCCCCGATCAGATTTTATTTTCGGATTAAGTCAATACCCGATCGAGTAAATGCTTTACCCGACCGGGTAAATGACTATTTTTCCAAATTTTCACTTGAACTTGTTCCCTTGCACTTTCCTTGAGCTTTCCACGGATCCTTTTGATGATCTTTACCTAGTAAAAGCTTAGAATAATCCTAATCTAAACAAATTACAAACAAAATAGGAAAAATAAAGTATTACACCAAAAGTGTGTAATTTCCCAAACAACAACAAATAAAACTAGTTAAAATTACACACATAAACCATAACAATTCTATACTATCACAAGATGATGCCCTATCGATGCATGTCAATTTGTCAACTAATATCATATGGAGCTTATTAAGTCCTAGAATATTTCTATGGATATTTGGAATGTAAATGAATCATATGTAGTTTCGTATCATGTAGAAGTACATATACATTATATTATTGACATTAACTCTTTGAATATCTGGTATAAAAAGAATTTGAGTAATAAATAAAAATGTAGGTCTTGATTACTTGTTTCAAAAATTTGAGTAATAATTATATTGACATATAATTATGAATATGAATATTAATAAATTTGGGTGTTTCAAAATTTATACTATATCCAAGTTTTGTGATGCTAGTGTATCATTAAATTGTATGACATATTTGTGTTTCAAAATTTATTGTTTCAAATGTATCATAATATTTTACAACATTGTAATGTCATAATTTTATTGATACATTTTAGTGACTCATATCAAATGTCACAATTTCTTACCTACTTTGACTTTTGTCAAGTATCACGGAAACTTTGAGTGACACCTATTTAAAATCACTATAGGCTGAATTTCTAGTAGTGTTACCTGGCCGTGGAAATCAACTAATGGTTTTCTTTAACGTGGTTTAACCAATTCCGTTACTTAGCCTTCCCTTGCTCAGCTTTCCAAAAGTCGTCATCCTACAAGTGTCAAAATCTAAATTAGTACTAATAAAGTTGAGTCACTTCAGTTGAAATTGATTTGTAGTTATATTTCAATTGAGTACAATTATTGAGATTGCTAATTTTCAGATTTTGCCCAAAATTATTCATAATGTAAATTTATTGGGAGCCGATTCTATAATTATTTGTAATCTAAAGTAGTGTAGATAACTATTAATTAATCCCTAACAACTCCAACTAGATAGTTGTGCATGTGTCATCCTAAAATGTCTCAACATCACATCTATTCTATTCTATTTTATATTTATATATAAGAAAAGAAATAGCTCTATAAAAGACAATGACATCCTTCATTAATCCTATGTGTCCATCTTTCCACATTTTGCTCATTTGCTATAAAGATGACATGTGGCTAATTCTACTCCCTCAGTCCCTTATAACTTTGCCAACTTTCCTTTTTGGATATCCCATTAACTTTGCCACTTTCTCATTTAAGTAAAGAATTTGTGGTTCCAGTTAATTCTCTCTCCTCTGCACAAACCTCAACCACACAGTTTTTACTTTATTAATCCCCGTGCCGGTCAAACTTGGCAAAGTTATTAGGGACAGAGGGAAGGGAGTATTAAATAAGAGAAAAGAACCGAACAATGCACCAAGGAAATGTAGGCTTGGAGAGAAACATAATTGGGGGGCCCATCAAATAAAACACCCATTTTCTTTAAAATGTCATAAATTTTTCATAATTACTCTAATTTTTAAAAAAACATATATCAAAATTCATAACTTTTTATGATCTTTCATATAAGACCAATATTGCATATAAAATAATAATAATAATAATAAATCTGAAACTTTATTAAGTAACCTATTTATTATTATGTTTAAAATTATATCATAGTGACTATAAAAGTATACTCATAAGAAACACATCAAAGCAATTATTTATAATTATGTTTAAATTGAAAAACATGACGTTGTTTAATAAATCATGAAAAACAATTATATGCAATATTATCGTCATTTGAAACGTTACAAGAATGATGAATTTTAGTATATTTTGTAAAAGTTAGTGTTTAGATGAAAAGGTTATAACACTTTGCATATAAATAGATTTTAAAAAAAAAGAAATGTACAAATTCAGTCAATTTTTCATCAAATATGTACTTAAATTTTGATTTCGCGAGCTGAATATCAAAATTCATAATTTTTTTATGACCTTTCATATGACACCAATATAGCATATATAAATTTAAAAGACTCTGAAAATTTATTAAACAACCTTCATATTTTCCAACATCAATACCATTCCGTATAAAATAAGAAAATAATTCTTAACATATGAACAAAATAAGGATAATATATAAAAACATGATTTTCTTAATCTTTAGTGACTATAGTTATATTTATATTTACATTGATGTGACAATATGAAAAAATGTCTCAAATAAATATTTATGCACAAAAATGTCACTAACTTTGGTATGAGTACACTTTTATAGTCACTTTGATATAAGATAAACAAGACTATATCCCAAATCAATAAGTAACATTTTTATGCATTGTCCTTATTTTGGTCATAATTATGAATCATCTCTCAATTTAATACAAAATAATTTGTATCGAGTAAATAAATAAATTTTAATATATGCCCAAAATAATAATAATAATACATATTAAATGATTTATTAATTTTTAGTGACTAAACTAATGTTTAAGATTATATCAAAGTACCGTAAGGAAAAACTTCTCAAATAAATATTTATGGACATAAATATGATTGGCAGGACCCAATGTATAAAGCCCCCCATTTTCTTCAAAAGCTTATAACTTTTTAGTTTTGACTCTAATTTTTTCAAACCATATATCAAAATTCTTATTTTTTACATTGAAATGATACCAATATTGCTTATAGAAATTAAAAAAAAAATGAAAGTCTATTAAGGATAATGAATAACAATATGATTTATTGATATTTAGTGACTATAAAAAAAACTAGCTCTTATATAATAAAAAAATGCTTACATGCTAAATTTTCATTTAAATTTACGTACCGTTGGGTGATTAGATTTTTGGACTTATTAATCTTATCAGTTAATTTTTTATATCAAATATTTTAATTTGATTTTGTGCGCTGGATTTTATCATGATCAAAATAAGAAATGTAAAAGTTACCGTTTTGCCTGAATTGAATGAAGTTGTTATTAAAGAAATTTTTGCTATTTTTCAGATAAATGTTTCTTTATTTTATAAATGAAATATATTTTAAATATTATTTTCCATAACTCAGTGGATTTAGTCAGTTTAGCGGTTTCAGCAACAACTTCATCAATTCCAATAGATACGGCCAATATTTTTTTTTTACCAAACATACTCTTAATAATATTATAAATGAAAAAATATGTTTAATATTTGAGGATATTGTCAATGTAAAATAGATCAACAGTTTTAAAATGTAACATGGTGTGATAAAGTTGCTAAAATGAGAGTCGTGTGGGATCAGACATGAGCGGTAAGAAATACAAAGTCATACAATTGGCGGGACCAAGGTATAAAAACCCCCATTTCTTCAAATTGTCATAACTTTTTAAAGTTATTAACTATTAATGACTATAATTATATTTAAAGTTATATAAAAAGTTCATTTTGTTCTTTACTAAAATAAATGTCAACAATTTTCTGTATACTACCACGTTCTTAATTAGATGCAACATTTTATAGGTTTATAATATCACATATTTTACTTTGATTATATTTTATTTATTAATGTATTGTAAATTTATTTTATTAGCCTTATGATTTTAAAAATATGAATATTCCATTAATATGAAATTCTATTTTGCCAAAACTTCTGTAGGTAACATACGTATTTCGTACACATTTTATTTTCTATTACGAAAGATATTATGGAATATATTTTATGTAACTTTCTCCGTCCCATTAAAATTTGTCCACTCATGGGATGGAAGTACTATGCTTATTTGAAAACTCTATGCTTTTTCTTAAATATTATCATTTATGATACTCTTTATAACAAACTTGCTTTTTTTAGTTTATGATACTCTTTTTTTGTTTAGTACGTATGTAACAAGATGTTAACAATTTAATTAGATATTAAATATCTCATATTATTCTCTAGAAAATAATTATGTGCATGTCACAATTGGGAGAGTTGCAAAGTTTATAGTTGGAAAAAACAAATGGAGCTATGAAGCTTGCTCCATGTGCACTAGTAAAGCTAGAAAGCGGATTAATTACTTCACATGCAAATGTGGTAAATATAACTAGAAGCATACTCTAAGTTTTTTGTTATCTGGATAAATATGTCAATTCTACTATTATTTTTGTATTATCTGATTTGTCATCACGTTAATATAATGCCAATGTTGAAAGAGTGCTAATGTTGGAAGATATCACCAATGTGGAGGTTTTAGGTATAAGAACATAAACTTGCTAATAATTGAACGAGACAAATTTGTCTATCATATGTAGTGTCTTTAGGTATTAGAAAATAGAAAATAAGCTTTCTAACAATTGAGCAGGGAATTGAGAGGGATAATTTTCTATCTCATACGTAGTGCTTTTAAATATTAGAAGATAAGCTTGCTAACAATTGAGTGGGATACATTTCTCTCTCATATGTTGTGATTTTAGGTATTAGGAGATAAACTCGATAACAATTGAGCGGAAAAACTTTAAATCTATATGTAGTTCTTTTAAGTATAAGATAAGTTGGCTAAAAATTGAGACCGGATGACTGAAATTGATTCAAGATACCATACGACAGAGATCCGAATGCCGGATCCATCATAGGCTGCTACTATATCTGGAGTTAGAATGATAACCCATGTTGCCCATGTGCGGAACTTGAGGAGTCTGCTTGGGGTGCAATATGTACGGCCGAGGATGAGGCTGATATCCGGCGTTTAAGATCCGCTCCATCGCTTCCAGCCGGGCTCTTGTTTCTTCATCCTTCTTCCGTTGCTGCTCTAATGCCCGCTGCTCCTCCTCCAATTCTAGTTGCATTTGGGCGATGCGTGGATCCTCTCCCCGCCCTAATCGAGAAGATGAAGCTCCGGTGCTGCGGTCATACAAAATCCGTTGCCCCTCAGCCCCCATGCACAGAACCCGACCCTTGTACACTCCAGCAGCCTCAAGGATCGCATCATCTTCCACATCAGAATCGATCTCATCCTCCTGGGTCAAGCCTAATTCCGCCCGCTTCTTCTCAACATTTGTGTTGTACTTCGTCTACATGTACAAAAATTATTGAAAGGTTATTTACTTCGATTTGAAATGTTACTAAATAAGGAAATTGATGTTACTTACTTCGATTTCGGCGAGGCAGGGTGGCAGATCGGCTTCCGACTCATCGCCGTGCTTTGTCCAACAATGTTTGATGACCTTGAGGATCGAGACCTTCTTCTTCTCAGGCCCCGCCTACATGGTTCGAAAAAAAACTTAAAATTTATAAATAAATGTAGAAAATGAAGGGTTGTAATGACGTAAGGTTTTTTTAATAGGACTTACAAGAGCTTCTCTATGTTTACTCTGAGGTTTGCGACCCCCGTGCCATTGGGTCTCCAAGGCCTTCTCAGACATCCGGTTTTTCTTACTAGATTCGCTCCTTGCCAAGAAGTTTGGATCAGAAGACCAGTGGCGGACGAGGTTGGCCCACACCTCATCCGAACACCATCTAGGCTGCCGCCCTTGCACTCGGGCACGCTTAAAAGTGGGCCTAAGCCAGTTCGAAATCCTGGCATTATAGGCTCTAAGAATAGCGGGGTATTGTGCTTCAGTCCATCGAAACCGGCCCTTTATTTAAAAAAGGGATAAATTAATATTTTGGTATATATTGGGTACTACAATTACGCAGGGAACATTCATTTATTTTTACCTTGAACAGGTTCCACCATAGTTCACGGACCTTGGGGTCAACATCCGTGTAGGTTGCCCAGTTCCCAAGAAAGTATCCACCAATTATGAGTTTTATTTGGTCCAGCACATCTTGATCGCTTCAAAAAATTAATGATATTTTTTTTATATCCGTTTTGGTTAGATTATTTCACATTAGATAAAATTATTTGACATTAGGTAAAGTTCATAGTTACTTACTTAGCAACCATGTGAGGTGTCACCCAAACCGCATTTTCATTGTTGCGCTCTGCTTCGGTTAAGGGCGCATAGTTCGGGCGGGTACGCGAGGTTGATTATTCATTGCTCATCTAAAAATACATTAATTTGTATATTTAAAATGTTAGTGGGAATATTAATGATCAAAATTTTATTGAAAATGTGTATAACCTATTAAACTATGTTTGAGTTTAATATGAGGAGATGGTATTTTTTTCAATTATTTTTTTTTTACTTTGAAACAATACATTTTTGTATTGATTGCTCTTAAAGGTAACATGTTAAACTTTTTGGCAAGTTTACATGAGGGGACATTATTTGTTTTATAAAAATTAATTTTGAAACATTTAAAAAAACAGTCCTTTAAAAAAAACTAATGAAAAAAACAGTTTTTACAAAAACTCTTAATTTTTTTAACAAATAAAAATATATATTATAAAAAATCAGTTTAACACTAAAAACAGTTTTAATACATTAAAAAATAGTTTTTATTAAACTGTTTTTTAAAGCGTTTTTTAAACAGTTTATTAAACTGTTTAATAAAAAACTGTTTATTAAACACTTTTTAATAAAAAACGGTTTATTAAACACTTTTTTATAAAAAACTGTTTTTATAAACTTTTTAATACAAAACGGTTTAATAAACTGTTTTTTTAATGTTTTTAATTGAACTATTCGGAGAAAAACTGTTATAAAACTGTTTAAACTTTTTTAAAACTGTTTATTAAAAACAGTTTTTAATAAAACACAGTTTAAACTTTTTTAAAACTGTTTTTTAAACTGTTTAAACACTTTTTAATACAAAAACAGTTTAAACTTTTTTAAAACTATTTTTTAAACTGTTTATTAAACACTTTTTTAGACTGTTTAATAAAAAACTGTTTATTAAATACCCCCTCATGTTTTTTGGAAGTTTGACATGAGGGGGTATTTTTTTAAATAATTAGGGAATAATAATTATGATAGATGATAAAAAACAATAATCCTAACAATGTCCAAATATTTCTAAAAATTAGTCCAAACTAACCTAAATAATTCAAGAATAATGTAACACATAAGTCCGAAATAAAAAAAAAATAAAAAAGGTTTGAATAATCATGCATGTTGTTTAACCTAAAATTAAATCATATTTAGGCATACATATTAAACTTATTGAACATATAAAACATGTAATAAACTAAATTATATATTAAACATGTATACCAACTAAAGAAAAGTTTAAACTAAATCGTATTTCGAAATTTAATATTAAACATGTATTTCAAAAATTATATTTCGAATATTAAAGAAAATTATAAACTAAAACATATTAAATTATATTACTACACAAAACATGTATACAAAACTAAAGAATCATTCATAAATCAAATTGAGCATATAAACTAAATCATATTGCACATGTATTAATACACAAAACCGAAAATTATATAAAACTAAAATTCATATATATAATCATGCATTTGAGTGTATTTCAACAAAAGAGCATGCACTTTAATAATAACATGCATTTTTGGAATGAAAATCAAATACTAAAAATAAGAATGAAAAGTAATTAAAATTTAGAACACATAACCTTGATGAAGAGGACGGCGAAGAGTCTTCGATGGAGGTAGCTAACAGAGACCGGCGGCGGACGGTGGCGACGGACGGTGGAAGGCGGCGGTGGAGGTCGAAGGGTTCGGCGGACAGAGAGAAGAAGTAGAGAGGGAGAGTTTTAGGGTTGAAAGCGTGTTTAGAATGAAAAATTCGCTAAGGGTTTATTTTATATAACGGATTAGTCACTCATATTTCCGTGACTAAACCCTTCGTAATCAACTAATCGGGCCACGCATCAGCAGCCGCCGTTGACCGGTTTAGTCACGGTCTAATCCATGACTAAAACCGTGACTAAATTCAAATTTTGAATTTAGTCACGGTTTTAGTCACGGATTAGACCGTGACTAAATCGGTCAATGACCGCCGCTGACACCTCGCCTGCCGCCAGTCTGAAATCGGCAGTAACGACAGGTTAGTCACGGATATAGCCGTGACTAAGACCGTGACAACTTCAAATTTTTAGTATAAATCATCCTTCTCCAGCCCAAGAATGGTGTGGAAAAAAATGGCTAATAGAGATCCAATTGACTGGGATTCCATGTGTAGAAGTATGAAACGACTTAAGCTAATTACACAGTTTATGGAGCCGAAAACCGATGAAGCATACGAGAGAATCAAGGAGTTGATGTCTAGACCCCTTGAGTGTTTTGGCGATTATAAAGATGAGGAATTCGACTCATTCGGCAAGTCAAAAGCAAAAAACTTGTGTCGGATGCTTCAACGTGCACAAGAATGTTCGGAGTATATGGACCCGATCAACAAAGAAGCTCGAAGGACAATTCACGAGTTGTGGGCTAGGCCTCTTGAAAGTTTCCGGTTGAGGAATGAATAATGTTAGTTAGGTTAATGTGATAAATAAATTGTGTGTTTTGTACTTATCTTTTAAATTTGATAAATAAATCTGTGTTAGTTGTTTATTAATATCTAAATTTATTATAATATTCAGATTAGTAAAAGTAAATTATTATTTTTTTGAATTTTTGAATTTTGTTAATTTTGTATATTTTGAATTACTAAAACGCTGTTTTTTTGTAGTGACCGTTGCTCCTTCAGACGACGTTGCTTGCTAGAGAGGGATGCTTCGATGAAATATCTCTTGGGCTAGATCGGCTACAATTAGGGTATTAGGTGTTTAGGGTTTTATAATAACATTCCAAGGACACATTAGTCCATAAAAATTGTTTATTTGTATTATTATTGATATATTAATTAATTAATACAAATTTTGGTATTATTTTGGTAAAAAAAAGTAAGGTCATAGATCGGGAAACTGATAGAGTTTTAGTCATATTTTAGATAATTATCTCTTTCGTATATTGAATTGCCTATATAGGTATACTGCTATGATATGATTGGTTAAGAGAAGGTACAAAACCACACTAAATTTTATTGACAATGGCGAAGAGAACGATGTAATAATTAATGCCTAATAGCTGATAGCATAAGTGTAAGTGTGTAACATTGCCAATGTCGGCCCTAACAGTATGCTTATATGTTAAATAGGGCATGTGACAACTGACAAGATCACTAAATTAATTATCTGACAATGTCTATGTTTGTCTGGTTTGGCTGCAGATTCATAAATTTCATCAGCCCCTGAAAAGGATGAGAGGAATGGGTGAAAATTGAGAAAAGTAGAGGAATGTGGAAAAAGTATCCACATGGACAAACAAAAAATCAGTATGCAAATTTAATGATGTACGGAGTAGTTTTTAGCCCATGACTTCAATAAAAGCCACTAACCAAACTTATTCCTGACACATGCATTATACTCCGAAAAAATATATAAACATAGTTGAAGAAGAGAACATCCCTAGCCACTAATGGATCCTCTTCATCACTGCATCATGGATTTCAACAATGGAATCCAAATCCCAGTTCGTGATCGTCCATCTCCCCACTTCTTTTCTTTGGACGACGAAGCAGTTGCGGCAGCAGGAGGTACAAGTCATGGATCTGCCAACAACGTTGACTCCATCCAAGACTCCGATGCGACTTTCATCACTAGTAATCAACCCTATCCAACTAAGGTTCGTTTCCTAATTATGTTCTATTAGCATGTAAATGTGCATGCATTACAATAATGACAAGAATATACTCTTCTTTTAATTGGATTCACCACTACTCCTAAATAGCTCAAAATAATTAAATTAAAGTTCATAAATAGCACTACTATTATTGTTTTATTTACAAAATATGATTCATTCACCCATTTTAGGATGCTTTAATCAAGTCATAGGCAGATCTAGAAGAGACCAACCTAGGCTTCGACCCACCCCAAATTTATACAAATGCCTTTATTTTTAAGATAAAAAAAAGTTAAGTGTAACTTTTGTTTTCTCAAAAATATTCTTTGTATCGACCAAAACTATTATTGTTATTTCTTTCCAATGATAATAGTAATAACTTTTATAATAATAGCTATACTAATAATTTTTATTTTTATATTGTTGTTGTCATAAATATTATGAAAGTAGCTTGGGATAATTAACACCAACTATATATTACTCATAAACAAATTATAATACCGGCCATTTTGAAAATAAGTTTTGGTAATACCAAACTATTTCAATATATACCGAACGAAAACAATACAGAGTATAAGATTACTTCTTAACTAGGAATCCTATCATTTAACAATTCAAAAACGGATATCAAATAACCAATCAATATGGCCGGGTAATTTATGTATTTCATAATTTAAACGGCAGAATGAGATATGTTCAGTGAAAAAGTGACTCTGTGTTACTTTTAATTTTTTAGCTAGATATTCCAATAATTCAATAAAATATTTTAAATATCCGTATTATTTACCATTCTTTCCAAACTACGTATTATTATTTGTTATTATTATTTGTTTGTGTGTAAATTGTGTTAGCTAGTTGATAGTTATTTAAAGCTACTACACCTTATTATTATTATTATTATGATTTAACTAAACCAGCGAGTGAACTACTCATTTTTTACAATTGAATTCCCTTACAACTAACGTATTCTTTTTCCGGAAAACAAGTTTTATTGATGGTAGTAAAAGTTACAAGAAAGAAAGAAAAAAAACGGGAGGAAAAGAAAAAGAAAGCCCAACCCGAAGTACAATATAAACCCTCCCAAGATAACTCGGAGTCTCTGTTTAGTAATCAGCATTCTACTCGTGTTTGAGATCTAGTATTGATAAAGATTTCAATGACGTCTACACAATTACACTCTGCATATTAATGAGTTTCATTAATGAGTTTCATTAATGCTGATTGGTTGGAACCCAATCAGCTAAGTATTAAAACCATAATTGCTTTGATGCCCTACTCCTTTTATTTCCTGTACGTTTCAAGTTAGCTTCTCAATTTTTATGCTGCCCCAGTCTCCTCCTAGTATGTGTTCATAAATTTTTTTGACTTTTTAATAAAATACACAGATGTAATTTGATGAACAATTTTATATTAAATTACATTTGTGTATTTTATTAAAAAGTCAAAAAAAAAATTATGAACACAAACTAGGAAGAGACTGGGGTAGCATGAATATTGAGAAGCTAACTTGAAACGTACAGGAAATAAAAGGAGTAGGGCATCAAAGCAATTATGGTTTTAATACTTAGCTGATTGGGTTCCAACCAATCAGCATTAATGAAACTCATTAATGAAACTCATTAATATGCAGAGTGTAATTGTGTAGACGTCATTGAAATCTTTATCAATACTAGATCTCAAACACGAGTAGAATGCTGATTACTAAACAGTGACTCCGAGTTATCTTGGGAGGGTTTATATTGTACTTCGGGTTGGGCTTTCTTTTTCTTTTTCTCCCGTTTTTTTTCTTTCTTGTAACTTTTACTACCATCAATAAAACTTGTTTTCCGGAAAAAAAATACGTTAGTTGTAAGGGAATTCAATTGTAAAAAATGAGTAGTTCACTCGCTGGTTTAGTTAATCATAAGGGGTATTTACCTAAATAGGAGTAAATAAATCTTTAATTGCTAAAATAGGACTAAAGTTAAATAAATTCTTGAATAGGAGTTATTATTTGTAATTGGACAAAAACACCCTCGAAGCTGGAAAGTCTTGCTGCAGTCTACCAGAAGGCAGGACCACCACCAACCGCCGGTCGCCGCCGGTTGCCGCCGGTTGCCGCCTGTCTCCGCCAGTTGCCGCTGCTTCAAAACTGACTGCAATTGCAGATCTTGCCGCCTCCGTCGCAGATATGGTTGTTGCCGCTGCAGATCTTGCTGGCACAACCGGAGATCTAGCCTCCGTCGGCCGGCGGCCGCTTCCGTTGTAGATCTAGCCACCATCACAACTAATCCGGCATATGTCACTGCAAATCTGCCATCTACCGTTGCAGATCTGGCCATTTCGAGTGTCAATGCCAAAATTTTTATCAAAATGATGACAACATGAATAAAAAATGCCATTTTAATGGCAATTTCAAAGAAAAATACAAATTTTTTGTAGAATAAAAATGCCATTTTGATGACAAATTCAAAGTTTGACTTGGCATTTTGACCAATCAAACAAGAAACGAAGCAATGAAATTGAAGAGGGGAAGAAGAACTACGAGAACAATCCGAGATGAGAAGATGACCTGCGGAGAAGAGAAGAAAAGACAATCTCCGGCGGCGATGGTGGTGGACTTCACGACGGCGGTGGTGGCCTTCACCATAGCGGCAACGACGATTTTGACTGAGCTTCAAGGTTTCGTTGCTCTTGTGCGAATGTGAGGAGAAAATAAGGGGAGAAGAAAGAAGCTGCGTAAAATCGTAAATGGCTACTGTGCGCCTAGGGAAAAGAAAGCATACTTATGTGGGGGAGAAAGAGGCTTAGGTAAGGAGTTATTATCGATGTACTGTGCGCATAGGGAATGAGAGAAAATAAGGGGTAAATGAGTAATTCAGTCTGGGAATAAAAATATACATACTCCTATTTTGGAATTTAAACAACATTTTAGTCCTATTTAGGACAATTTGTCCTAATCATAATAATAATAAGGTGTAGTAGCTTTAAATAACTATCAACTAGCTAACACAATTTACACACGAACAAATAATAATAACAAATAATAATACGTAGTTTGGAAAGAATGGTAAATAATACGGATATTTAAAATATTTTATTGAATTATTGGAATATCTAGCTAAAAAATTAAAAGTAACACAGAGTCACTTTTCACTGAACATATCTCATTCTGCCGTTTAAATTATGAAATACATAAATTACCCGGCCATATTGATTGGTTATTTGATATTCGTTTTTGAATTGTTAAATGATAGGATTCCTAGTTAAGAAGTAATCTTATACTCTCTGTATTGTTTTCGTTCGGTATATATTGAAATAGTTTGGTATTACCAAAACTTATTTTCAAAATGGCCGGTATTATAATTTGTTTATGAGTAATATACAGTTGGTGTTAATTATCCCAAGCTACTTTCATAATATTAATGAAAACAACAACAACATAAAAATAAAAATTATTAGTATAGCTATTATTATAAAAGTTATTACTATTATCATTGGAAAGAAATAACAATAATAGTTTTGGTCGATACAAAGAATACTTTTGAGAAAACAAAAGTTACACTTAATTTTTTTATCTTAAAAATAAAGGCATTTTTATAAATTTGGGATGGGTCGGAGCCTAGGTTGGTCTCTTCTAGATCTGCCCATGACTTGATTAAAGCATCCTAAAATGGGTGAATGAATCATATTTTGTAAATAAAACAATAATAGTGCTATTTATGAACTTTAATTATTTTGAGCTATTTAGGAGTATTGGTGAATCCAATTAAAAGAAGAGTATATGCTTGTCATTATTGTAATATAATGCATGCACATTTACATGCTAATGGAACATAATTAGGACACGAACCTTAGTTGGATAGGGTTGATTACTAGTGATGAAAGTCGCCTCGGAGTCTTGGAAGGAGTCAACGTTGATGGCAGATCCATGACTTGTACCTCCTGTTGCCGCAGCTGCTTCGTCGTCCAAAGAAAAGAAGTGGGGAGATGGACGATCACGAACTGGGATTTGGATTCTTATTGTTGAAATCCATGAAGCAGTGATGAAGAGGATCCATTGGTGGCTAGGGATGTTCTTGATAAACAACCAAGTACGCACAGTGAAGTGAGGAGGAGTACTCGACGGGGTAGGCGCAACCCCTAATATTTCAACGATCACATTGCAGTGCATGCTTTAAGTGCTTGGATGGAGTCTCATTTGGATTAGAGTTGGTTATGTATGTTTTTATTAATATTGGAGTTGTTGTTTAATATTTTCATTTTCTTAAAGTATAGCTAATTGTTAGAAGCACGTGGTAGTTGGTTTCTAGTGGCCTTAGTGGCGTTAAATTAGCAGCAGTTATTTCCCATTACTTGTACTTCTTATATGCAGCAGATTGAATGGAAAAAAAGGGCAGACTTGTTTTCGGCCAAACTCATCCTTCATCTTTCTGATCTTTCTCTCTTTCTGGTCAGTACACTTCTGAGTTCCACCAATTTGTATCAGAGCATGGATACCCGAGCCAAATCAAATGCTGAATTCCGACAGGATATGCAGGAAGCTATCGCGCGACATGATAACCAATTTGCTCAGATTGCCGCTACCCTTCAAGCTATCAATGTTGAGTTACGGGTAGGCCGGATTGCAAGGGAGCAGGCGGAGTTACAGATGGAGAACCCTTTTGCAGATGAGCGTACGCGGAATAGCCCTCAGCCTCACGATCCAAAGGCGAGGTTTCCGAAATTCGATGGGGGTGACCCCTCCGGCTGGCTGTATCAAGCAGAACAGTACTTTGAGTACTATGACGTGGCTCCCGATCTACAGGTGAAACTCGTGTCCATGAATTCGGAGGGCCTGGCGCTACAATGGTTTCGCTGGTTGATCAAACGAAGAGGACTAGTGGCGTGGGAAGAATTTGTCAAGGCTCTCCGTATTTAGTTTGGGCCAATAGAATTTGCGGACCCGGCCGAAGCTCTCTCTCAGCTCAAACAGACAACATCCGTCACAGCTTACCAGGAGACGTTTGAACAACTGTCTCATCAAATTGATGATCTACCTGAATCCTTTCTCGTCGGAAGCTTCCTAGGAGGCCTGCGCGATGACATTCGGTTAGAAGTGAAGACACGAAAGCCCCGAACTCTCGAAGATGCTTTTGGGTTGGCACTACTGGTGGAAGAGAAATCGAAGCTAGTTCCTCGGAATCCATTATCTGTACGATCAACCACTTCTAAGCAGCATGACACAAGTGGCATTCTGAGACCTCCACCAGTTACTCACTTAGATCATCCGAAGCCAGCACAACCAATCAAACGACTTCCATGGGAGGAGATGCAACACAGACGTTCTTTAGGTTTGTGTTTCTCTTGCAACGAACAATTTGCACCGGGACATCGCTGCAAGCAACCCAAACCTATGTTGCTGGAGACGGGAGGACCCAGTGAGGCACCAACAGATGATGATCAAGGGAGTAGTGAAAATGACACACCTCCGGAGATTTCAATTCATGCTTTATCTGGCTGGTCAGTACATCAAACATTGAGGCTCAAGGCTAGAGTTGGAAAACGGGAGATTGTTGTGCTAGTTGACAGCGGCTCTACTCACAATTTTATCCAAGATAAACTTGCAGAATCCTTGCAATTGCCGTTCACAACTATGCCAACACTTAATGTGAAAATTGCAAACGGGGAGCCTCTTCGATGTAAAGGGCGAGTGGACTGTGTGCCACTTCAAAATTAATTTTCCCAGATTATATCCTTTTGATAAGTCCGTATTTAGACACACATTTGATGCGTGTTGAGATCGGCTTTTGATGATTTTCCTAGTTTTAAGGTGTTACAAGTCTCAATTTTAGCTCAAGTTATGTTTACCGGGCGTTGGTTCGAGTTTTGTGTTGTTTGTAGTCAAAAATCAGGGAATTTGAGCCTGGCACCGGCACTTGAGGAACAATCGGGATGATTTGAGAAGCATTTTAGAATGATTTGATAGCTTTGGAGGTCACTGGAAGATTCACGATGAAGATTTGAAGGAAAAAGAGCTCTAGGATTGGCTACGAGGTCAAAAGAAGATGAATGAAGATTGAAAACGACGATCAGGATGACCTTCTATCAATCGTTCAAGCATATCTCTTTGTAGAAACATACAATGTACACGATTCAAGTTCCATAGGAAAGCCAACTTCAAGGGCTACAAATAATATGAAGACACCTTTGCGAGAATTGGAGAGGAAGAAGGTGAAAACAGACGATGAAGTCAGATGATCTCTGCTGCGATTTCAGAAAGACACCTTCCACTGTTTTGATCATATCCCTTGATTGGATGATTTAAATCACAATGGGAAAATTGGGGTGCATAGAGGACTTCATTATATACAACTTTCATGAAGGAAGTTTTGTCAAATTCGGAAGTTAAGTAGGCACGATCGTGCCCTCAAAGTCAGACACGATCATGCCTGAAGAGAAAAGCACCGCGGAGTTACTGCTAGCCAGGCACGATCGTGCCTGGAGGGAGGCACGATCGTGCCTGCCCAAAATGCGCGTTTTTGCTCCGGAGGCACGATCGAAGGCACGATCATGCCTGGCTCCGAAAATCCTAATTCAGCTCAAATTTCACCCGATTTTTCTATTTAAACAGCCTGTAAACCCCCGTTTTCAAGGGGGGGGGGATCTTAGAGAGAGTGCCTAGCACGAATTTTAGAGGGATTTTCAGCCTTGTTCATCAATCTTTTGGTATTCTTTGTAAGTTCCACCTTTTTAATTAATGTAAATTAATTCTATTCTTCCCAATTCTATTGATTCTTCAATTATGAATTGTGAGTAGTTTAATTAGGGATTGGGATTGATGAAGGGGTTGATCATGATGTATGGCTAGTTTCTTGATGGATTAATTGCATGAATGCCGTTTAATTTGTGTTTGAATAATTTAACTGATATCTTTTGTAACCTAGAATCGCGACTAGAATTACAATTGCATGTAGAATAAATTAAGAGAGATCTAATTTGTTCTAGGACACATTCACACACACTTAATCGTTCGCTAAGAGATTAGTAGCGATTAAGGGGCCGTAAGCTCGCTCGTCTTGGCAATAATTTAGGATCCTGTCGCATGAGAGATCAGCCTGGTCCCCTAAATTATTGTACTCTACGCCGCGAGAGCGGTAAGAACTTAGTAATGATTAGCTAAGCTCAATTGAATTAATTTCATGTAATTAGGCCCGATCTGCCAGAAATATGGTTACCCCGGAATCGATCCCTGTTCCCTTCGTCATTAATTAGAAAGAACCCCCTAGTTTAATTGTTCGCATTAGTTTTATTTTCCAAACCAACCAATCTCGCACGACACTTTTATTTTATTTTCTTTTTAATCGTTGAATTTAATTAATTCTTGATTCCCTTTTGTCTGTCCCTGTGGAGACGATACTCGTACTTACACCACTATTGTTATTTTAATTCTCAAATTTTAACAATTTTATTGTGATCATTTGAAAATTCACTACTATTTATTTTTTACCATCATTATAAATTGGTGTTTAACGAAATGTTCACATATACGTAACTTTTTTGGCTTAATTGGCTGAAATTGTTGTAAAAGACCATTTTAGCTATTACCATGAAAGTATATACTTCGTATTTTTTTAAGTCTCACATAAATATATTAGTTAAAATAATTTATCAAAGTTTATTATTTTTTACTGTGAAAGTCAAAGATGATTAAATAAAAAGTATGAAACATTACACCTGGAACATTACTAGATACTTTTCAAGAGGAACAAAAGATTTAAGTGATAATAAGTAGTTTGGTATGTAGTACATTCTGTATAATCAAGTTCCTAACATAATCGTATTTCCTTTGGTAATTAATAATCTCTTTCGTCAAATTAGTGATTTGCTATCTTTCCAAGTTAAATACCCCAAACTTTATATAAAAAGTTATTTTAGCTATATAGTCAAGTATTATTTCTCTTAAAAATGTCAATGTATGGTGTTAATAGCATCATATAAAATATGTTAGAATTCATGAATACACAATTAACATTCTAAACTTCCGCTGCGAAACAAATATTGTTACCCACAATCGATATAATTGCAATAGTTTTAATTTGTTATTTTAAATTATCCAATTAACCTCATAAATTTACATTTTTGAGAGAAATAATATGTGACAATGGTGCTTAAATAACTTTTATATAAAGTTTAGAGTATTTAAATTGCATATGCAAGTTTGGAGTGTTTATCTCAACCCCTTCAAAGTTTGGGGTATTTTTATTATTTTTCCCTTAACAAATATAAAATCATACTATTCGATTGGATTCGATTCGTTTACAATTATGTTTTACTCCATCACATTTAAAGGCGGGCGGAGATGGGCCGTTCAGAGAACAACGGGGATCGGCTTGGATAATGGATATCAAATACGGAGTGGAGTATATATAAATATTACGCAGAGATCAAAACCTACGTACATAGTTGCGCAGCCTTCCATATCCTCACCTATTCAAACGAGCCAAATCATGAATCTCCAAAACCCACTGTCAATCCTGCCCTCTGAGATCGCCTTTTTGACCCACTGACCGAGTAAACCGGATGAAGAAGACTCCATAGTTGGTACGGGAATTATAGATGGATGCTTCTGCATGGCAAGGAAGGATGAAAATAGGCAAGTGATCCGAGTATCACTTATGAAAGAATATGGAATACTAGAGTCTTGGGTCACATCCTTTGCCATCTCAATGATGAGGTTTGAACCATTTCACATTTACAACCTCAAATTTATGTCCCAAAATGGGAAAGTATTTATGATGTGTGATTTTTCCTTGAGAACATATGTGTATGATGTAGAAGAAGACAAACTAGAAGAGGCATTCCTTTTAGGAGATAATCGTGGATCTATTTATTATTATGGCTGCCTTAGTTGCTTCTATGTTGAAAGTTTTGATTTGCCACGTGAAGTGAGTTGGCCGGAGGGATGGTAATGAGAAAACAATGCAGGCTTTGGAATAATTGTACTTCTTCTGATGATTAAATATACGGAGTATGTTTGTTGCTGGTAGATATATCAATGTTCAATATCTCATGTTAAGTAGAACCCCCAAAATCAATTACCTACCCTGTAATTTAACGTGCCTGTTTTCTTGAATGGGTTTTAATCATATAGCTGCCATGTAATTCGTTCTGCAGCTGTCAAAAGTGTTTTATCTCATAATCCCTCTAAGAGAACTGGAATATAATGTGACGTTTAATTCAACGGAAACCATTATAGTATGTCGCTAATCAGTAATAGCCCTCCATTACACATCATGTGATGTTTATTATTAGTAGCATCTGAGTAGATTTGAATCCAATATCATGTGGAGGAGGTTTCTCCCACTGAAGTGGCAGAACGGGTTTCTCCCGATATCATGTTTTGGGGAGTCCTGGTTCCCTTTGTGTTATGATGATAACATGAATTGAGTTGATTTGTAATTTTCCCACTTCATTGTTGCATTTTGGCTGATACATGTTATATTTTGAGAAAACATAAATTACTACCGAGTAAATAGCAACAGATGGATCACAAATAAAAGTGGAAAGACAAACTTGTTGGCAAAAACATACTCCCTCCGTCCCAAAAACAATTTCACAGTGTGTCAATATGATATGAAGCAGAATCTGGGCTTGGAAGAACAGGGGCAGAAGCCTCCGTGGGTTTACTTAAGGCGGGACGGGCTTGAGCCCACCTTCGTGGGCTGGTTGCGGGATGCTTAATTAATATTTATTCTTTCTAATTATCCTGATTTGTTTCCTATTAGGAGTTAATTAGGATCTCTATTATTTGTTTCCTATTTAAAGTTGATAAGGATCTCTATTATTATGTTTCCTAGTTGGAGTTGATTAGGATTTCTAAGATTTTGTTTCCTAGTTTAAAAATTAGTAGATGGAATTTAAACCCCTTGTTAGGATTCATTCATGCTCATCTTGGAATAAAAGTTGGTTTAGCCTTTTGGCTCTGGGCAACGGTATTTATTTATCGTTGATTATCTGGGCAACAGTTCACCCCGTTGATTTTTATTTTTCTGTTCACAACACAATCACACAGATTAAGAAAATAAATTTGACTTTACTGTTGGGTGCACTGTTTTGCACTGTTTGGCATTATTTTGATGTAGATAATTTGCCAAATAAGAAAAGTATTGAAGTGTGAAGTTAATTTAGGGACATCCATTTAAGAAAAGTGGAAAGTTGTTTTTGGGACGGAGGGAATATATATTGAGGTTTAAAATGTTGAACTACATACTTTACATGGTAATTTGCCATAGATATATTTGATGTGGACTAAAATTAATCAAATTATCAACGGGGAAGCGGATTTGAAGCATGAAACAAAGCTAGAGTATATTGGTATCACAATAAAAGAGCATTTTCTTAAAACATGGGAAAGCCAGTGGTTAAGGCAAAGGAACAAGGAGTTTTTCTATGTTTTCCGAACGATTTTCGAATGTTTTTCTTATTTTATTTTTACTCGTTCGGATTCCCTGAATGATTTTTTTTTGTCTTAGTTGGTCGGATCATTTATTCCAAATGATTTTTTCTTTTAAATTTTTTAGTTGTTCGGATTTCAAGTTTTATCCCAAAGTCTGTTGCAGTTAACCGTTGTTAAGTAAACATGACAATCCACATGGCGGTTCTATAAACCACCAATCCAAGTGGGGCTCATTAATAAAATACCACCACTTCCGGTGACAAATAAAGTAAATAGTGTGATTTAAGATAAATATTTATTGTGCACGTGTGAAAGTCAAGAGTATTATTTTTAAAATGATCTCTAGATTCATCCCTCATTTATTAGATTATTGTAAAAAAATTGTAAGAATATTATTATTGTTGTGAAATGAAGAAGATGCAGAATAGATTAAGAGATAGATATATAGATAAAAACCTCTAAATTACTTCTTCTTAATATCTGGAATTTCTGAGTATCTGAATTTCTGAATTCCATTTACAAAGGATTCATCACCCTATTTATACTAGTAGACTAGGAGATGAATCATCAAAGAATGATTCTACATAATCTGTTGGCAACACTAAACCTAGCCATCTGTCTATTACAAGGATTGAACTTGGATTAGTGTCCTGATGACAAGGATGGACATTCACACATGTCATTTTGATGATTTTACAACACTCCCCCTTGAATGTTCATCCTGGAATAGGTATTTGGTATTTTAAAAACTTATTGTGAAAATCAGTGTGAAAATTAAGGGGTAAAGATTACGACATATAATGTCGTTGTATTTGGATGTACTGTCTCGTTAAAAACCTTATCAGGAAAAACCCAGTGGGATAAAAACCTGATGAAGGGAAAAAGAGTGCAGTGCATTCAAATACTCCCCCTGGAATTAACATAAATTTTGAAGGCGGCGCATGCCGATTTTCTGTACAAGTTCAACGAACTTCTTCGGGGGTAAAGATTTGGTGAAGAGATCAGCTGGATTTTCACTGGATCTGATTTGCTGAACGTTGATCGTCCCTTCTTTCTCAAGGTCGTGAGTAGAGAAAAATTTTGGAGATATATGCTTCGTTCTATCTCCTTTGATGTAGCCTTCTTTAATTTGAGCTATGCACGCAGTGTTGTCTTCGTAGATCACAGTAGGGTAAACAGTAATAGGCTTTATACCGCATTCATTCTGGATGTGTTGAATCATAGATCGCAGCCATACACATTCTCTTCCGGTTTCATATAGTGCAATTAACTCCGAATGATTTGATGATGTAGCTGTCAACGTCTGTTTCATAGATCTCCACGAGATTGCGGTATTACCATAAGTAAATACGTACCCGGTTTGTGATTTTGCCTTTTGAGGATCTGATAAATATCCAGCGTCTGCATATCCGATTAAAGAAGCTTTGGCATCTTTGTGGTAGAATAGGCCGAGATCAATTGTACCACGGAGATAACGGAATATGTGCTTGATCCCGTTCCAATGACGTCTTGTTGGACATGAGCTGTACCTAGCTAATAAATTTACAGAAAATGCAATATCTGGTCTAGTATTATTAGCTAAATACATTAAAGCTCCAATAGCACTCAAATATGGCACTTCGGGACCAAGTATTTCTTCGTCGTCTTCTCGGGGACGGAATGGATCATCGTGTATGTTGAGAGATCGAATAACCATTGGTGAAGTCAAAGGATGAGCTTTGTCCATATAGAATCTCTTCAACACTTTCTCGGTGTAATTGGATTGGTGGATGAAAATTCCATTCTTCAAATGCTCAATTTGAAGTCCGAGACAAAATTTGGTTCTCCCGAGATCTTTCAATTCAAATTCTTTCATAAGATATTTTGCAGTATTTTCAATTTCACCGGGAGTTCCAATAATGTTTAAGTCATTCTTATATCCTTCTTTGAGAAGGTATTCACTGAGACGATTATACCACATTCGTCCAGATTGTTTTAGTCCATACAATGACTTTTGTAATTTAATGGAAAACATGTCTCGAGGTTTCGAGCTATAAGCTTCAGGCATTTTAAATCCACCGGGAACTTTCATGTAAATGTCTGTATCAAGTGAACCATATAGATAGGCGGTCACTACATCCATTAGGCGCATTTGCAGCCTTTCAAAAACAGACATGCCAATGAGAAACCTTAATGTAGTTGCATCAACTACTGGAGAATAGGTTTCTTCATAATCGATTCCCGGCATTTGAGAAAAACCTTGGGCAACAAGTCGGGCTTTATATCTAACAATTTCATTTTTCTCATTGCGCTTACGCACAAATACCCATTTAAAACCCACAGGGTTTACGCCTTTGGGCGTAGGGACTATCGGTCCAAAAACATCACGTTTTTCAAGTGATTTTAATTCAGCCTGAATAGCTTCATTCCATTTCGGCCAATCTTGTCGTTTCCGACATTCTTCAATTGATGTTGGCTCATTGTCATTGTTTTCATTCATAACATTTGTGGCAACGGCATAGACAAATATCTCATTTATATCAATATCTTTTCGATTCCATCCCATTCCAGTAGAAACGTAATTTATTGAAATTTCATAATTATCAACGTTTCTATCAGTATCTGGAATATCTTCCTCATTTAAGGAAGTTGAATCATTATTTGAGATGTTTGTTTTGTCAATATCATTTTCTATGCCAGTATTTTCAAATTGTTCATTTTCTTGTTCAAAAGGATGAACATCTTTGGCATCACAGATCAATTCCTGCCTTTTAATTCTTCTTGGTTTTATGTCTTTTGATCCAAGTGGCCTGCCACGCTTTTTGCGTATAGAAGAATCATCTGCAAGAGATTTTTCAGAATTCTCTGCTGGGATTTCGATTCTGGCAGGGGCATTCATAGCAGGAATATGTGACTTTGTCACTTTCTTCGTATTTGTGAATGCATCAGGCAACTGATTTGCAACATTTTGTAAATGGATTATCTTTTGCACCTCTTGCTCACATATATTTGATCTAGAATCAAGGTGTGATAATCTTGTTGCATTCCATGTTATTTCTTTCGTACTTGGGTCCGATTGATTAGTTTCTCCCCCTAAGGTTGGGAATACTGTCTCATTGAAATGACAGTCAGCGAACCGTGCGGTGAATAAGTCACCAGTCATCGGTTCAAGATATTTGATTATTGAGGGAGATTCAAATCCAACGTAAATTCCCAACCTTCTTTGAGGACCCATTTTTGTACGATGAGGTGGAGCAATCGGAACATAAACAACACAACCAAATATTTTTATGTGTGCTAAGTTTGGCCCTTGTCCAGTAACTAATTGCATTGGGGAATATTCATGATATGCAGTCGGTCTAAGCCGAATTAAATTTGCTGCATGCAAAATAGCATGTCCCCAAGCTGATGAAGGTAAATTACACTTCATTAATAATGGTCTAGCGATTAATTGTAATCGTTTAATCAATGATTCGGCAAGACCATTTTGTGTATGGACATGAGCAACAGGGTGCTCCACATCAATCCCAATCGACATACAATAGTCGTTAAATGTTTGGGATGTAAATTCTCCTGCATTATCAAGTCGGATTTTCTTTATAGAATGATCCGGAAAATGAGCTTTTAACCGTATAATTTGAGCAAGGAGTTTAGCAAATGCTAAATTTCTAGTCGATAAAAGACTAACATGTGACCAACGTGTTGAAGCATCAATCAACACCATAAAATATCGAAATGGTCCACATGGAGGGGCAATCGGCCCACAAATATCTCCTTGAATCCTTTCTAAAAATGCAGGTGATTCAGTTGCAATTTTGGTCTTAGAAGGCCTGATGATCATTTTGCCAAGAGAACAGGCCTTACAAGGAAAATCACTTGATAATGGAACCCTGATATTCTTTAATGGTTGTCCAAGTGAAGTCTTAATGATTTTATGCATCATTACTTGGCCTGGGTGACCTAAACGGTCATGCCACAACATGAATGTTTTCTGATCATCTAACTTTGTGTTAGAAACCAAATTTATTTCGAATGGACTAATATGAGTGAAATATAGTCCTGAGGAATATGCTGGCATTTTTTCACAAATACATTTAGTGCCAGATTTAGTTGTCGTTAGACAAAGATATTCCTTTTGGTTTTCATTCATGGTTTTTATGTGATAACCATTTTGACGCATATCTTTAAAGCTTAACAAATTTCTCCGCGATTTGCTGGAGTATAAAGCGTCATTTATAAGTAATTTTGTCCCATTAGGGAGCATCACATATGCTTTCCCAGAGCCTTCAATGAGTTTCGCAACACCTGATATTGTATTGACTTTAGCTTCAACTAAAGTCATTTGAGAAAAGTATATTTGATTTCTCAAAATGGTGTGCGTTGTAGCGTTGTCTATCAGACATAATTCTTTATCATTTGAGTGATCCATATAGGAAATGATGATTTCTTGAAAATTTTGAGCAGATTCGTGCTGATAACGTGTTGTGAAATGAAGAAGATGCAGAATAGATTAAGAGATAGATATATAGATAAAAACCTCTAAATTACTTCTTCTTAATATCTGGAATTTCTGAGTATCTGAATTTCTGAATTCCATTTACAAAGGATTCATCACCCTATTTATACTAGTAGACTAGGAGATGAATCATCAAAGAATGATTCTACATAATCTGTTGGCAACACTAAACCTAGCCATCTGTCTATTACAAGGATTGAACTTGGATTAGTGTCCTGATGACAAGGATGGACATTCACACATGTCATTTTGATGATTTTACAACAATTATGTGTTATAAATGTTTATATATTACTCCGATCCTCCCGTCCCATTTTGGCTGTGTTCGTCAAGCCTTAAAAGCTCAAAATGAGCTGAAATATTTTAATTCCAGACAATTATTTTAGGAGTAGACCTGTTTGGTAAAAGAGCTGAAATGGACTGAATATGAAAAAATGGGGCTGAATAGCAACGTTATCCCCTCAAGCGTTTCTATCCAGCCCGTTTTAAAATTTTCTTCTGTTCCCAAATTATCCTCGAGACTCATCTTTCACTCGGACTAACTACATAGAAACAAGAAACCAGTGGCGGTAATGATGTAACGTGTAAAATTGTAAATCCCATCCATGTTTGCTTCTGGATGGGTTCTCGTATTTTGGATCATTCCTGATTACTACGGAGTATTACTTTGTTTTCACATTGAGTTCCAATTTTCTAGTCCTATTCAGTGGCATTTGTATGGAAAAATCAACAAATATGTAGACAGTGATGGTTTGAGATAGTTTTTACTTTTAGAGTCACGTTCCATATATTACAAGCTTAATATTATAAATTCAACAAGCAAATCACTGAACACGATCGATTAGTTGTTCTTATTAATTAACAAAATAATAAAATCATGGTGATAATAATAGTTACTCAAAAACTTAAAAAGAATTAACAGTTAGATGCTCGGCTATGAAAGATAAAATATTATATATACACATATAAATTTAAATATTATATATATAGACACACATACATATAAATATATATACTAAGATTTTAAAAACTGAAAATATAAAATCATTATAATAAGTATTTTATTCTATTAATAAATCATATGCCCATTACTATAATTTCATACTGTTCGGACAATTTTTCAGTTCTTTTTGCCAAACGGGTCTACTCCATTCAGTTGTCAAATCAGATTCAGCACTTCAAAGTTCAGTTTCAGACAATAGTCTTTGATTCAGACAACAGGTCATAATTCAGACATTAGCCTCCAGCTCCAGCTTGTTGTGCCAAACATAGGCTTTATCTGTCGTACTTTTCTCTTTGTGTTGTGCTAAAATAAGTGTCACATTTATATTTTTGCAAAGAAATATGTGGTTCACAACCACTTTATTACACTCAAATTTCAATCATAACTTTTACCTCGTTAATCACTATATTAAAAATTGTGTCAAACCAATGGAGACACATAAAATGGGACAAAGGTAATGGGACAAAGGTAGTGCTTGTTAGATGAGTGTTACTCCGTATAATTCTTGGGTGCTTCTAAGGGCTACCTCAATTTGGTGTGTTTTGGTACAAATCTTTTTAACTAATCATATTATATCTTAGGATCACCTCATATCCTCTTTAACTAAACTTTCTGTACACTACAATAAAATTGAATTATAGAGGCACAATAAAATTGCCTCTAAAAAAAGAAAAATTGTCTCTAATGCTTTTTAGAGGCAATTGGTTGCCTTGAAATAATATAATCCATCACTAAATTATTGTTGCCTCTAAAATTTAGAAGCAAACTAGAAGCTAATTTTATACTACCTCCATCCCCAAAAGATTGACCAATTTGACTTTTGTTGTTCAATGGTGTTACAGTTTAGACAACAATTTTAGGTATTATATTTGAGTGTAATATATAAATTTTTAAATTTTATGAAAGACTTTTTTAATAAAGAATATGCTCAAATAATTTTTCATATTTTAAAAAGTTTTTTGTTAAAAAATATCATTGGTCAACTTTGACCACCATTGACAAAAAATGTCAAATTGACTCATCTTTTTGGGAAGGAGGCAGTATAACATGGAATGTCAAAATGAAGTTTAATAACTCGATAGTGTAGAACATAAACTTATCTAAACTTTTGACAATTTCATAAATCTCACTAATGCATAAATTATTAGAACATTCAAAACGAAAAAGTATGAACTACAAGCTCAGGGAAGAAATACTCTTTAGTCAGGTCATTGAGAAAAATGCTTGAGAAACACAAAATGTGTACACTTGTGTGTCATTCACAGAAATTTAGTTTGTCACAGACAACTCAAAATCAGTTATCTGTGACAGACAAAATTTCTGTGAAGGACAGACATGTGTACACACATTAGTAGAATTTCACCCTTTACCTACAACTTTCATACATACAAAATTAAATTTGTGAACATACATAATAATAACTTGTGCCCGTAATTCTTTTTAATACAACTTTGAAGTTATCGCTTTTGTAGAACCTCAAATTAATTTTTATCACCACTCTAATATTTTCACCCACCAAAATTGAAATTCTAAACGTACACCTCATCTCAAGTCCTCACATGGTCATGTCATCCTCTATATATAATACTCCCCACCCATCTCAAAATAATAGTTACCTTGCGGATTTTGTAATCTGGATTATAAATTAAAGTTTATATATTTCTTTCACAATTCAGTTGATTCAATCAGAATTTCATCAATTTACGCAGATACAATCATTTTGAGTGTTACCAAAGAGGTTCTAAAATTTTGTCTAAAATTATAAAGTTATTTTTTGGTACCAAAACTAGTACTTCTTCCGTCTCGCTAGAAGGTTCCCGTTACGGTTTATGATGTTTGACTGACGATAAAACAACTTAATCCATGTTCACACTCTGATTATTTTTAGTAAATAAAATTTACATATTCAGAAACTACATTAAAACCGTTACAAAGCCTGATAAAAAAAATGTAAATTTGATAAAAATTTAGCCTAAAATTAAAAATGATTTATGATTTTTTGCCAAAGATGTTATTATTATACTCTCTAAGATTTATTTATCTAGCAAAATTTTAAACGGAGGTAGTAAAATTAAAAAGAGCCTTGCTACCTTTTTTTGTAGGCGCGTTTACCTGCAACGGCATATTCGGACTTGCCAGCCAGGTTGGCAATCCGGCAAGTCTTCTCCAGCATTTGACCGTGACCTCATCATCAGTTCTTGCTTCTTCATTCCTTCCTCTCAGAAACAAAACCCGGAGATGAAGACTGAGGAAAAATTTGACCGTTGTAATGGAACTTGCCCGTTGGCAATCCCGCTCCCTCTATATAAACATATTACTCATACCCGTTACCATTGGATCTTCAAATAAATCCCCATTCTCGCAGAAACATAACCCAGAAATTAAAGACAGAGTCTTCTTGTTCCTGATTCTGATGTGGAGCTCGCCCTCGATCTATGTGTTCTAATTCGATAGTCTTGAATACCTTATTCCTTGATTCAGAAACCTAATTCAGAAACAAAACCCAGAAACCTAAATTTCTTTCTTGAATAACAATAACCTTCTTCCTTGATTCTTGATGCGGGCGGCGCTGCAAAATTCTGTTTTAGGGATGGATGACTAAAACTGGAAGGTCAGAACTGCTTGAGATGATCGAGCAAGCAATAATGTCAGGTATGTGGTGTTCTTCATTTAATTTCTTGCTTCTTCCATTGTCTCGATCAGAAACATAGTGTTCTTGTTCCTGCGGGTAAACAAACCCAAGATCGAATTTATACTATACCCTGTTCTAGCTAATTTGTATCTTTCATGAATAACAATTATCTTCTTTCTTCGTTCTTGATGCAGTGCTGCAAATTAAAGTTAAGGACGGTGATGGATGACTGAAACTGAAAGATGGAGTTGCTCCGTAGCTTTCTTTCCTGAATACGTACAATTCTTCATGGCAGAAATTCTTCCTTAGCAAACCTGGTAATTACTAAACCAGATTTCTTGACTACTATGCATCTGTTTATTATCCTGATATATACTTTCATTTATGAGTACCTATTCAGTGCATCTGTTTATTTTCAAATCATCACAAAGAGATTCCTTGGTGATCGAAGTCGTTCTGTTCTTGTCTATGTCTCTCCATAGAGATTCCAGGAAACATGCTTGCATATTACCAGTACAATGCTTTATTTTTGATGTTTTGATGAATGAGTAACTCAAGAACGGATTTATCGTTGAAGCAGATTGATTAATCCTTCAGTCGAGACTGGAAATATTCACTGTTTTTCATGTTATACATCCATCTTTTTTCAATGCTAGCAGCTGTATCAACAAAATAATCGGAATCGTATATACTGAGCTCTCAATATTTTATGAACAGATGGAACAAATTATGCGTGATGGAATAAGCTAAGGACCGATTCCGTTATTTATTAATAATCCCAAAATAATTGTTTTATTCTTGAAAAGCATTTCTCTGAAGCTAATACGTAGTACGTATTATAGCAGTGCATGCAATGGACTTTATCAAACAAAACAGTACTTTTCAAATCAATGGAATACATTAATTAATTATGCCGCAAAAACAGAGTTCAATAGTCGTCAAACAATATTAATACAATATACTCCGTAGTTAGTTAACATTCAAATAATAATCACAGTTAGATACTTAGATTACAAACTTGTGTATTAAAACCAAGACCTTCTGTTCTTCATTGAGGAATCAGGATGAACGGATGGTGATGACTAAAACATGTCAGGTATTATATACCAAGTATATATACTATGCCCCCCATAGACTCGACTTAGCAGAATTGCAAGAAATCGGGTATCTAATATATTCCTTTCACTAATAAGGGGATTGACAATTCCACCATGCATGATGGAATATTGGAATTCCATATCACTAATATAGTCTAATGCCAAATAGGTCCTCTAATTCTCACTTTTCATCTTTTCTTAGCAGCCCTATCCCTACTACACGCGGTGTAATAATGTATCATTCACCCACTTGAGTGCATTCATCATTTTCCTTCTTCCACCCACTTGACTGGGACATCACTTAGGTCATTGCTTGTTGCCAAATTGATGATTCCAATAGATCAAATATCTTCAATATCACTTGTAAAACACACAAAAATAGATGTAAAGAAGAAATCAATAAATTCAATATGAAATTATGAACTCAAAGTTTAATTGTAAATCCAAAAATTTTAGAATGTATAAAATTCATTTCACTGCTTTAGATAAATCTAAATCGATAATATTCGTACAAACAATACATACAAGATTGGATATAAGGACAATGATACCCATCTTTAACACTTGATATTTTTTAAAGGAATCCCAAAATCTTTAAGCTTAAAAAAGGAAATATACGCATATATAACCCCTAAACTATAAACTCGAAACCCTTAACCCCAAACCTGAAACCTGAAACCTGAAACCTGAAATCTGAAATCTGAAATCCCAAACTCCAAAACTGAAACCCGAAACTCCAAAACCCAAAATCCAAACCCTAAACCCCGAAACTTAAAACACTAAATCTTAAACCCGGAACTTGAAATCCTAAAACCATAATCCCGAAACCCTAACACCAAACCCCGACCCCTGAACCTCAAACCCTGAACCTTGAGCCCGAACCCTAACCCCAAACCCCGAACTCTGAACCCCAAACCCGAACCCCAAACATGAACCCCGAACCCCGAACCCTGAACCTGAACCTCGAATTCCGAACCCTGATCCCTGAATGTCACGCCCCAGACCGCAATCCAAGCGCGTGTACAACCGCCGTATAACTAAGTGACGTCACCCACGGGTCAACCTCACTTAATTACACAAGGCGTTCGAGAAAACAATCCATCCATACTCAGTAGTAAACATACATAACAACATCACATTAAACCAATGAATAGCGGAAATATTCAACGGTAAGTCATGGGCCACAACCGGCCGACAACATGGGCATGCAAGCCCCAAAAATAGTTTGTAGTAAAACAAATATCCATGAGCAAGTGTTCGGTAGTTTGAAAGAAAATAAGGAAGCACGAACCACGTCTCTCTGATTTGATATCACCCGTGAGAAGGTGCAAGTAGCAAGCTCTAGCTTCAACCTGAAAATGGTGGGGCCCCCCGAAGGGGTCAGTACAAGTACCGAGCGAGTAGCAGGCTAAATATAGAATAACTAGCGTTTCAAGTATAAGACCCAAACATAGGGTGATACTTAAATAAATAATCTTTTCCCCAAGTTATAAAATACTTATTAGTATATATATATACTTGGAAAATATCCGATCCGTAGATCACCATTTTATTCGGGAAAATAGTAATAGTCAATATTCTTGACTAAAAACCCCAACCCACCCATATACCTATGAGTGTATAGGACTCCTCCTTGTCCCTACTTGTATATCACAATCTATGAGTTTTAGGATCATAATCCTTGGATACTCCACCGGTTTGTGAGTGTTAAGGACTCATAAGTCCTAGGGTCCTCCACCAAGTTTTGAGTGTTAAGTACTTTTAAGTACTAGGGTCCTCCACCAAGTTTGAGTGTTAAGGACTTTTAAGTCCTAGGGTCCTCCACCAAGTTTTGAGTGTTAAGTACTTTTAAGTACTAGGGTCCTCCACCAAGTTTGAGTGTTAAGGACTTTAAGTCCTAGGGTCCTCCACCAAGTTTGAGTGTTAAGTACTTTTTAAGTACTAGGGTCCTCCACCAAATTTTGAGTGTTAAGTACTTTTTAAGTACTAGGGTCCTCCACCAAGTTTTCCTATGATCAACCTCCTATCAACCTAGATAGAGTCTATATCATCCTTAGTTACTCATAACTAATCCAATACATAAATCTTATGTATCACAATCCATGCAAAGCCATGCATTTATATAGGTTTATAATTAATTAATACCAACCGGTATTAATTAAATCCTTTGTTCTTCGGTCCACGTTTTCGTTGGCCGCCATTTCAAGCCTTGTGTGTATCAACTTAATCATCATATAATTAAGTTAATAATATTCATTTGTGCTTCTAATACACTTCAACCAAATATGCATTTCATATAATTCTTCATATCATGTTCCATGCATCAACAATTAATTTCTTTCATACAAACTTAACCCTATTGGCTAATCACATGTTTAAATATCTTTTAAACATCATTATGAAATCATATAACATCTATTTAGGTAATCTCATAATTAACCCAAAAGTTATAAGATATTAAGCCGTCCACTCACCTTGAACTAGCGTTATGAAGTTCTACCCCTCTTGGTTGAACTCCGGTGAAACTCCGGCGACTTTCGGTCAACTCCGGCGACAACTCCGGCGACTTTTCCAACTTTGTGAAATCACTTGAAATACCTTTCACAAGTTCCTAACAAGGTTTTATAATCATAAAACCCGTATTAATACAAATAACCTCAAAACGGTTATTTTCCGGTGAACCGGTCGTTTTGGCTTCTAAGTCCGTTCTTGGACATAGAATCACTTTCCAACCCATGAATCCATACTTATAACATATGGAACCATACTAAAGCTTCCTCATATGATATATAGTTCATATGGTAGAAGAAAAATAGAGAGGAAGTTATAATAAGGTCATTACCTTAATTATTTCACACTTTTAGCACTTTAGCTCCTTTTTGGGTGATTCTTCCTTGATGAGTTCTCTTCAACAATGGAGGAAGGAAGAAGAAGGGTTTTCCTTCTCTTGTTGCAGCAGCTTGGCCGAAATGGGGGGAGGGAGAGGGGTGAGGTATACCCATTTGTCTCATTGAACAAATGAGTGTGGATGGGGGCCACCTCATTTTTGTTTGATGCCATAAAGATCAAATCAAGGCCTCCTCCCATGTTTCTCTTCTCCTATCAGCCGGCCAACCCCTCCAATTTGAGTGTAAAAACGTGGGTTGGCCCCCACTCATGTGGGAGGTCAACCCTTTTTGTCCCGAAGTGTACAATCGGTCCCGAAAGTTGTATTTTTCGGACTGTTTTAAATATATTTTATTTTATCGGGTCTAATAAAATATATTACGTGTTCTCAATCGTAATGGCCTTTTGAAATAATATGTATTCCAAAACATTAATTTAGAAGCCTCCGAAATTCATTTTCGGGCTGTTACCCGTTAAATTGTCGGTACCGGTATTTGGGCTTCTTTTGCCCAATCGGCCAACACAGGGCTTTTCCACGACCCAAGTAAAATATCCACCACCATATAAATATTATCTTGACCAAGATGAATAAACTATGTGGTCTCGGGAGTGTTGGGTGGTCCCCGCTCTCGATGTGGGCCCCACGTGCAATTTACTATTCACGCGAAAGAATTAATAAAAATTTGCAACTTCGTAAATTCATTCATCCTTTAATAAGGTTCAATACATTATTTACATAAAGTAAATATATTTGGGGACGGTGTCACAAGTTCACCCCCCCTTATTTGGGATTTCGTCCCCGAAATCCAAGTATCTAATCGAAAAGAAATGGGTATTGCTCCCTCATTGAGACCTCGGTCTCCCAAGTTTCTTCTTCGACTCGATCACTCCTCCAAAGGACCTTTACCATAGGAATCTCCTTATTCCTAAGCTTCTTCACTTGTTGACCAACAATCTTCACTGGTTCCACCGCATATTGCAAGTCCTCACGGATCTCTACCGGTGGTTTCTCAAGAATATGAGATGGGTCTCGTATGTACTTCTTGAGCATTGATACATGAAACACGTCATGTATCTTCTCAAGTTCAGGCGTCAACTTGAGTCGGTAAGCCACGGCCCCGATCCTTTCAAGGATCTCAAACGGGCCTATGTATCGGGGGTTAAGCTTCCCCCTCGATACAAATCGGATGATGCCCTTCCAAGGGGAAATCCTTAGGAAGACCTCATCACCGACTTCGAACTCCAACGGCCTCCGCCGTTTATCAGCATAACTCTTCTGTCGGTCCTGAGCAGCCTTCAATCTATCCCGAATGATCCTTACCTTGGCCTTGGTGATCTCAACCAGCTCTATTCCTTCGAGTTTGGCCTCGCCAACCTCGTCCCAACACAATGGTGTCCTGCATTTCCTCCCATACAATGCCTCATATGGAGGCATGCCAATACTTGCTTGATAACTGTTGTTATAAGCAAACTCCACTAGGGCCAAATGTTTGTCCCAACTTCCTTGGAACTCCAGCGCACATGCCCTAAGCATGTCTTCCAAAATCTGTATCACCCGTTCGGACTGCCCATCCGTCTGTGGGTGAAAAGCTGTGCTAAACTTCAGTTTAGTCCCCAAAGATGCCTGAAACTTTGGCCAAAATCGGGATGTGAATCGTGGATCCCTATCCGAGACAATGGATATTGGGACTCCATGTAATCTCACAATCTCCTCCGTGTATAGCTTGGCCAATCTTTCAAGAGGATAAGTAATGTTGATAGGCAAAAAGTGTGCACTCTTGGTGAGCCTATCAACCACTACCCAAACTGCATCATAGTTGTTCACCGTTCGTGGTAGCCCCACCACGAAGTCCATGGTCACGTGCTCCCACTTCCACTCTGGGATGGTGAGTGGCTGCAAGAGCCCTGC